ACCATGAATCAATTGGAAGATCTAACCCCATCATGCAAAGAATCATAATTTATGGATCTAAGGTATGTTTCCGGTTTTGTATTTTAATGTTCTCATTGATTTCAACATGGATGGTCAATTCGGTAATGTTTGATTATTGATGTTTTGGATCGATAATCACTTATAAGTTTTCTATCATACAAAGGATATAGTACATCTTGAGTACGCAAGAAACAAGAATTAAAAGGATAATTTCGTAAATTGAATTTATAATGAAAATTTTCAGCCGAAAAATTTAGTCATGGGGTCCTAAAAGAACTGTCGACCGGTGAATGTTTGGCCGAAGGACCAGTTCGGAGGGGCAACGTTGTAAGAGACGAGGGTTCGACCGTCGCTAGTGGTGACCTTGAAAGATAAACTCTGTCCATTTAGGTAAGAATTACTCTGCCAATTTTGGCCCCAATTTCTTGACATTGGTTGCCAGGCCGTTCTTGATCCCTTGATAGACACTGCATGTACATCACCGGCACCCCCTACATTGGTAATTAGAACAAGATTGAAATATGAGTGACCATTGATGGTGAACCTAACACCTCCCCTTCTCCTGCAGGGTACCCTACACAAAGAAAATGACCTTCATTAGAATTGGATCGGGTAAAAGTTCAAGAAATGCAAACACTACACGAAAATCACCTTCTGTAAGCCACGGGAACAATCCCGGCTTTGTATTGTGCGATTCGCAAGAAAACGGGCTGAGAGAGATCGAAGTGGTGGTTCGGAGGATCACACCAACCCCCTGGAGGGCAGAAGTTGGTGGCGGTGACGATAATGCTGCCGCGGAGGCACCATTGTGGATCATTCACACACACTAACTGAAAACATGCACCACAGCTCAATCCATTGTTGAACAGGGCTGTACTCAATGCTGCTGTGTTAGTTCCATAACCCTGACTGTACAGGTTTCCATACCCACATGCCCCACCTATAAGAATTAAGAATAATCAACTTAGAAGGAAGCCCATGTCATCGACTATACCCTAATCCCTACCATCGAGAGCAACAATGACAAAATATCTATAGTTGAGGAATAAGTCCTTGTTTGCTTTTAGCTAAAAAAAACTTATTAAAATTGAAGTCAAAATCAACAATGAATTTTAATCACATTTCATGGAATTCGCAACTTTTCAACAACGCATTCCATCAACTTTTATTAAAATCTACTAAAAATCTGATTTTTATTTGAACCAAACCAGTAGCTAAATGTAAAATGTGATTAAGCATACACGTACAGTGTGTATTGACAAACACACGTGTGTTACATACCCATTGTTCCTGAAGCATCGCCTCCTCCATAGAAGGTGGCATGAGCATTAATCC